CTGTGCTAACCTCGGAATTTTCGGTTGTGGAAGCGGGGTTTATCATACGATGTTGGTTGAATAACTTGTTCAGCTGAAGCGAACTTCCCGTACGGCAACGTGTCGGTATTAGGCATGCCTCTACTAGTGCCATTAGTGCGTATGTGGGTGCGGGTGGCCTTTGCTCGGGTAAAGCACTAAAAACTGACGACCACTGCACCAACACACCGACCAAATTTCGATCCCGCCACGACTCCGCCAAATTGTTGCCACCCGCCAGGTTTTCGTGCGTGGCGGTCTGCTGCTGATGTGTGGGGATGGACAAGGGCGCTCGAAATTTCTCGGCACGAAGGCTCCCAACAGCTGGTCCAAACATCCGTGCGCGTACTGCATGGTGAGTCAACGCGACGATGATACCGGCGGCGATCTGGGGAACCCAAGGTTCGACATCGACAAGCACCGCCGCACATGGGGCCAGATAACGGATGGCTTGTCCGACTTGGATGCCCTCGCGGATGTCCCTCGCGAGCAGGATCGACGCTCAAGAGACCTGGGACTGGTTCCGCCGGATCCGTCAGGGCTCCCCCTCCCTCTATACACAGCCATGCGCATTGTTCCGACGGAGAACGTACCCGTCGAGCGACTGCACTTCGATGCGCTGGTGAGTGATGTACACAAGTTTACCCTGCATGTGAGAAACCCCCCAGGGGACACACGTTGACGACGTCTCCAAGCGGAAGATTATACGCCGTCCTCAAGAGGTTCAAAATTCCGACGCATGCACTTCAGTAAGTAGTAGAACGACGGTTGTTGTGATCGCCCACATGATCACTTCGTCGGCTAAGGGTTGCATTCTCTCCTTGTCTGCCCGGCATCCCACCACCGTTGCCGGTAGGGGCAAAGTCAGTTTTGCCAGGTGTTCTACTTGGAGATGCTCTCCACTACAGGTCGCCGGCTTGTCTCAGCCATCATGGCCCAGAAGCCGTCTTTACTCTACCCACCCGGAACACGGAAGCTGAAGGATGTCGTGACCAACTACGCTTCTCTGAATGGCAGCGACAAGTGGACACTGCAATCGATCATTCTTCTCATATTCCGGATGGTTCTCCAGGATGTTTCGGCAATGGTGAGTACATTTTGTAGCGTAGTCGGGCATTCGTTGTTCCCGAGAAAAGCCAACACGTAGTATTGCATACGATCCATGCATGTGCTCAAGAGTTATATCCCGCCGAACGGAATATCTCTCCCGCCGCAATGCTTCTTCAGTTTACAGAGCTATATACATTCGTTTTCGTACCCCTCCCTGGCTAGAGCACGAGAAGCGTGACCATAACTTCACCCGGTACTCTTGGCACGTGCGCGGTGCACAGCACTCCTCCTCTCGAAATTGTGTACGCCTATCTGTTTGCAGAAGTGGAACACTCATCATTTGTGTAGCTTCGAAAGTTGTTTCGCAGAGGAATCACAGCAGTAGCTCAGATCCACACGCACGGGCGAAACTCGGCGTGCCTCACTCTAACTGCCCACGCAGAGGGTTAGCATTTTAGGTGCGTCAAAGGGCGGCACCTAACCACGGTACTGGGAGACACCTCGGCCCTTGTTCGCTGCTCTGTCATGACTCATCCCGGCCATGATGTTTACCTGCCAGAGGAGAAACATGAAGACACGGGAGATCAAGGACCTCGTCACGGAGTGGGGAACGTACGACAAGGTCTTGGAGGCGCTGCGGGAGCTTATGAAACGGGCGTCTCTCCTGTCGTTCGCCCTCCGCGCGCCATCTTTCACCGACCCGGAGCTACGGCAACTCGACAAACTCGCGCGTGACGCGGTATGTTCTGATCCTCTTTGTCAGTTCGTCCTTTTGAGGGGGACACGTTCAGTTGACTCTGCGTGCAGTTGGACAATAGTACTAGCTAGAGAGGGCACAATGGCCCGCGCCAACGGCCGCATGGCCACATCCTGTTGCTGCGTCGTCGCTCCTACAATCACACGCGGCAGTAAAGCCCCACAATACAGCTGCTTTGATAGCAAAATGCCACCGCTTGCGGGAGGTTCAAGTATTCAGTGCGGGGGCGTCGTGTTAATCCAAACAAGAACCAATCCACAAACAAGAGGCTGGGTCGATATATTTTGTCTCCGACTTTTCGCGAAACACAGAAACAACGCCCACAAAGGTTGCAATGGAAAACACCGTGCCTTGGACGCCCACGACTTTTACGTCTACATCGGGCGATTGCCCATTCTGGTTGCGTCAGAGAGCTGAGACACGAGTTTGGTGCGCGAAAACACCCCTGCGGTCTTACGTCAAAGCGACAGTGGGCCGTTTCTGGTTGGTGGTATTAGCTGGGCGTGGAGCCATGGCCAAGTTCTTTGGTGTCTTGCTTTGGTACCTATACACGACATGTGACGTGGCCCAAACAAAAAAAAAACAAATGCATACAGCAGAAAAAGTTCATGACAACACAATACAGGACACTTTTCATCCTCACCAGTGTTCAGACTTTTTACAAAAGGTTTTCACACCTCATGCTCCAGAGAAAGTAGAGAGAATGGCAAGCAAATGACTCGTGACGTTTTCGCCTTTCAGGTGGAGGTCTTTTCCAAAGTAATGGGGAGGACGGGATCGCGGCCCACCATACACTCCATCCTACATGCGGTAGAGGCGATTCGTCTGCACGTTGAGAGCGTTTCGAATGTGGGTTGTGGATCGTGGGTTAGGGTTGGCCTCGTTGAACGCCATTCGCTGGATCCTTGCAGCTAAGAACACCGCCGACAGACACGATGGGCATTGCGGGGGGGAGGAAGAGGGGGGGGGGGGCGCCACTCACCCGCCACTCAACCAAGCATTTTGATAGTGCTTCACCGTCCATGTTTATCTGAAAAATGCACTCACGCCGAGCTCGTCACGTGACCTCTCGCTGCCTGCATCACACGTTGAACGAAACGTACAGGAATATGTCCGGACGCCAGCACGGGTGAACACACCCACCAGGTGAACAAGTCTGGAAGGGGTGTGGACTGCGGTAGGAGCCCTTCACTGCACATGGCTAAGCGGGCGAACGTCAACAGCGCATTCTTGGCGTTATCCAACGGGCTGCCGTACAGAGTCACTAAGTACAACCGACAGACAAAAATGCATGAGATCGTCACCGTTCGACCTGGTGATGGCTGTGTCCGGCTCATGCAGTCGCTGGCGAGCTTCCTCGGCCATGACCGCGTGCCCACAGACATTCACGCCGAGGCGGTTCAGACGCCAGCACAGCTTAGCGGACAGTACCCGGGATCTGCGGTTTGGACCGCTTCTCTGTTCAACAACGGGGACGAGCAGCAGCTAGATGGCGACTGGCGTCCTCGCCTGGTGTCCAGCAAGTTCCGCCCAGACCTTACTGCGCGCATACCAGACGTACCACGGATGTGACATGGCGGGTCCGTGCTCAAGCAGCCGCTGCCCGAATTGCTGGGACGGAGACACCCTTCAACAAGCTTCCATCGACTGCTCCCGGTACATCCGGGCACCCATGGTAGCAAGTTGTGGCCTTGGTCGCTTGAAGGGCGGCGATGTGAAGTCGGCGGCGCAGGCTGGGCCGCGTGACGAGTGGGCTCTCGGGAGTGGCGGAGGGGACAACGTAGAGGTGTACAAGCAACTTCCCCCGATGCCCGCGGCGGGCCGTGCGGATCCTACAGATCTAACCCTGGTGAAGGTTCTGTACTTCTTCCGGCACAAGGGCAATCGGCCTTTGATGGGTGGGAACCCACCACCGCTCACGTGGTGGGTGCTCGGTTACGAGTACACTGGGGTTGCTCACGCCAACGACCGCGTCCCCGATTCTATCACCGGGCATCCGACGCTGAACCTTCGAGCCCGCGGCCGTCCGGCGGTGTACCCTGTATCTGCCATCTATCGGCAGGTGCATCTCTACCACGCATGCTCGCTGAGCGGCGAAGGTGAAACTGGCAGCTCTCACGTTTGTGGGGTAGTGACGGGCGGGGAAGGGTCGGGTCGTGGGGCTGGTGCTTGGCGCCACAGATTCCGCCAGGCTACGCCGGGTACCACCGGGTATGACAAGTACCTTTTGAATGAGTGTCATCACTCCATCAACCAAGACACTTTCGTCTGAGCACGTCGGGCGTGTCAGAGCTGAGAGAGGTGAGTTTGAATAAATTGGTGGGTACAGGACCTTGGATCGCTANGTGAAACTGGCAGCTCTCACGTTTGTGGGGTAGTGACGGGCGGGGAGTCGGGTCGTGGGGTTGGTGCTTGGCGCCACAGATTTCGCCAGGCTACGCCGGGTACCACCAGGTATGACAAGTACCTTTTGAATGAGTGTCATCACTCCATCAACCAAGACACTTTGGTCTGAGCACGTCGGGCGTGTCAGAGCTGAGAGAGGTGAGTTTGAATAAATTGGTGGGTACAGGACCTTGGATCGCTACTCTCCCGCGTTCGCCTTCGCCGGATGTATATACTTTTCTATGATTTTCCCCTCGGCTCTGACTTGACGGCCTCCCGTACCCCCCCTTGCTTGCCTTGCGCAAAAAAAGGTGGCGGTGCGGTCCGGGCGGGCGGAACAGGGTGATGGCTACTGCGGTAGGACGATAGGCCGGCTCACGGACATCACGCGATGGACGGGTTGCAGCCTGCAGGGGCATAAAACAGCCACCCCGATATCATGAAACATTGACTAAATTGTACGTGTAGGATGTAGTGCGCCTACTTTCGTCCTCTGTTGGAGAGTCAATACTTCAATATGATCGGAGAATGGTGGGGATTATTGCCGACGGATACGCACATGCGCGGGCAGGGTGTGACTTGTTGCTTTATTGTTTTTCTTTCGAATTGCCTTTTTGCATTAATGTTTTCTCTTCACACGCGGGGAAGAGAGAGAAACCACGCCGACAGAACACGATTCCTGTAGACGCCCTCTGCGCCTGTCCTACCGTGTCTCTGTCCATTCATTCTACTGTCTCTCTCTCTTCCCAAAGAAAACAGCCCGGGGTTTCTCATTCCACCGGTGTGGGGAACTCTTCCTACTGTACGGAACATCTCANGGTCCGGGCGGGCGGAACAGGGTGATGGCTACAGCGGTAGGGCGATAGGCCGGCCCACGGACATCACGCGATGGACGGGCTGCAGCCTGGAGGGGCATAAACAGCCACCCCGATATCATGAAACATTGACTAAATGATACGTGTACGATGTAATGCGCCTACTTTCGTCCTCTGTTGGAGAGTCAATATTTCAATACGATAGGAGAATAGTGGGTGGGGATGATTGCCGACGGATACGCACATGCGCGGGCAGGGTGTGACTTGTTGCTTTTTTCGCCAAAAGCAAGGACAGATTCAGTACTGCTGTTTGATTTAGTCTACTCCGTAAAATAGGCAATTAATTATACTTCGCCGGCCGCGGTGTTGCCTCTTAATTGTGTGTGCTCTGTCTCGTGTGTCCGACCTAAAAAAAACGGCGGAGGCACGCGCGCGCAATAGCGCGGCATCCAACGAAAACTACACGTGTAAGTCTATGTGTGTAATGACTTTCACGACACTACACTGCACGGCGGAAGGAAATGGTGTACACCTCTCCGACTCGGCACGGCGGGGGGGGGCCGCCCCCGCCGCGGCGCTTTCCCCCCCAACAAAAAAACGCGTTCTCATCGTCAGCGCCCACTCCGTATACTGCTGTATGTAGTTACATTGCTGTTGTGTTCCCGACGACCGTTTGTCCGTCCACAGGCACACATGTTTAGTCTCTGTTTCGAGCGAGTGTGCGGGTGTACACTATCGTGCCCGGACCCACCTCTAGCCAGGGTGTCGCAGTATATGACCTTGTCAGGCTTTGCCGGCCGAGGGTGCCCGGCCGTGTGTGTCCAAAAGATAGAAAAATTAAAAAATGTGTTTGTTGTGCCGCACAACGGTCCATAAGTGCCGTTTTTGGTGTTGTTCGTCCGCCCTTTAACTTGAAAAGAAAACCGAGCTTTCAGTCGCCTCTATCGGACTTGTGTCCAGGTGTGTGTAACGTATGAAGAGCCACGCTGCTGCCTGGGCGCAGAACTACCTGCACAAACAAACTGAGTGATGTTTTCTTGTTTAATCAGTATAATAGGCGGGCATTCTCAAGAGCCGAACAACCCCCCAATCCGTGTGCCCCCCCCCAAAATCGCTGAATAGACGGGTCACATTTTTGGCTCTTTTTGGCCCCAAAATCTGCCCGATTGACACCCTACTGCTGTCTCTCCCCGCACGCTCTACTCCCTTTTTTTTTTTGCCGCAAAAAAAAAAGAGGTACAGCGGTAGACCCAAAGGGGTTGAATAGATAGAGGCCTGACCTCAGATGTCAAAAATGCTCGACGGTTTTACCTAGAAATCTTCAGCATCGTACCTAACCGTGCCGCCCCCACCATTTTCTTACCTGCTGGTGGTTCACCTCTTGGTTTGCAGCAGACTTCAAAGCGTTGGCATCATTGCTTAGCACGAACGGTGCTACAACTCCCAGAAGCAGGAGGCTGCGAGGCACCATGGCTCCCTGCGATGCGAAGAAAAAACACTGTGAAACCGGGATCGGATGGGGATAGATTGGATACTGATGAACTCTGTAGTATACATAAAACAAGTTGCGACCATGTATGAGGTCAGTCAGTCGCTCGCGGCTTTGTACTAGATCTACTGTTCAATGTTGTGGGCCCGTCGTCTTTAGGCACGCACAGTAGGCACACGGCAATGCTTCGTCTAGCTGGTACGGCTCTGTGGACACGTGAGGATAGGTAATTGAACCCGTACCAGCTGCGCGGACCATCATTAGTCTAGCAACTTATCGGCAAGAAACGGGTGGGGAACTAGACTACTGCCTGCACGAAGGTTTCACGACCAGAGGTTTCAGCTGTTGTTGCCAACGGTCAGAATAAACACTGGAACGCGTGCAAGAGATCCACAGCTCGAAGCAAATGGGTAGGAATCAGCCAACGACGCTTGCCGCGTGTGAGAGTGTGCCGAAAACCGTGGCACTCAAGGAAGAAAGACAAGCGACGCCGGCGGGGAAATTCAACATAAGGTGGTGCGTTGACACTTACTTTCGTTTTCGAATCATGGATGGATGACGGGACTACGTGCTTGTCGGGCTCAACAATTGTGTCGCCTCGGACAGTGGTGGACACCTTAGAATGCGTCTCGTCCATCCGCTTTGCTACAAGAAGGTCTGCTTCACACCCGTGTATTCCATTTGGTGCGCGTAGTGTCATGGGTACCGAACGCAGACGACACGGAAGGTCATCAGATCGGAGAATTATATTCCGATGGACTGCACCAAACCCAAAAACAATATGACAACCACATTTGGATGCCCGCCCCTCGTTCTATCCACCACGAGCCAGCGGTCAAGAGTGGTTTATGTTGTGTGGCGCCTCTATTCGCACCAGCTATGTGCGGTTCTTGCATGAACCCTCAGAAGAGGACAAGGTAATATGAGGGGCGCTTTCGAAATATCTTGTGCATGCTCAAATCATTTATCATTGATGACAGAGGACAGCAACGCATGATGCAGCGTCGCGGCAGTGGTTCACTCAAGATCACTTCCCCTAGAGCTTGCCTGTAGTCCACCGAGCGGCCCAACGAAGCGCAGCCTCGAGAATGTGACGGATGGGTGGGGTGGATGAAACGGAGAGCGTGAGGAGGAGTGACCTGCGTGGAAAAAGACAGGGAGGGAGGAAGGGCGGAATGAAGAGAACGGGCCGGGAGTGGGTACTGCATCACCAGCTGTGTTTGGCGGATATAGAGCCAGCGTTGGATCCAGCTGTCCACGGACGTCTCATCAGGGAGCCCCCGACGACAAGTTGGGTGCACCGACACTGGCTTTCTCCGCACGGGAAGTTTTTTGCATAAAATAAAGTGATTTGCTCCTCCGTGAATCAATCCGTTGAGTGCAGTCACCTCTTCCCATTTGTGGAAAAAGCGCCGACCTCCGCATGCCTGTGCAAATATTTTATGCACCCAACGAAAGTACAGCAGCAGCAGCAGTAGACGTATTGAATTCTTCCTTTCACTCCCTCGGTCTCATCTCCTTCACGGATGCTCACGTCAGAAAATGCCCGCTGCTGCTGTGTGGTTAGGGATATGCTTACCCGTGGGGGTGTCGCGAGGACTGCATATGTTACTACTGGTCAACCCTCCCTCAAATCGACCTCGAAAAAACTCTAGCGGCTGTCCCGCTCTTCTTGAATCCTCGCCAGCGTCACC